TCTCTCTCTCTCTCTCTCTCTCTTCCTTCCACTCCCACCACCTTGAGGCTGGAAAGAAAAGAGACAGAGACATGCAAATCCCCCCCCCCTTAATTTAATTCCCCAGCAGCGGTGGATCGCACGCACACACACACACACTCCAAGGCAGCCCATTCCTAGCCTGCTTTGAGCTTAGAGGGAGGGGGACGGAGATCGATCTAACCTGAGGGATGGTGATTTTCTTTCTCTTTCTCCCTCACACCCACCCACCCCCTCCAAGGCAGTCCCATTCCTAGACTACTTTGAGTTCCATTCTCAGGCTGCATGAAAGGAAAGCAGCAGAAGCCTTTCTTTCTCTCCCTCAAACTCCATCAGAAATGAGTCTTTGCAGCCTCTTGGAGCAGGATGCCTTGCAGGGTCCCAAAGACTCATTTGTGGCAAAGTTTGGGGGATAGAAAGACTTTTGCTGCTTTCCTTGCATGCAGCCAAAAGCAGAAGAAGCAGAAAGAAGCAACCCGGTGGGCAGACCAGTTCCCCCCTCCCCTCACTACCTTATGTTGTTCCTAATGCAAGCGATGCAAGCCTTGTGTTCCCGGGCCATGTGGGTGGCACAGCCTTGTATTCCCCTGCAGCCTGGAATAATTGATTTGGGGGGTGCTTTGGGGTGGCATTCCTAGCCTGCTTTGAGCTCCATTCTTAGAGGGAGGGGGGAAGGGAGATCGATCTAACCTGAGGGCTGGTGATTTTCTTTCTCTCTCACACACCCACCCCCCTCCAAGGCAGCCCCATTTCTAGCCTGCTTTGAGTTCTGTTCTCAGGCTGCTTGCAAGGAAAGCAGAAAAAGTCTTTCTTTCTATCCCCCAAACTCTGCTAAAAATGAGTCTTTGGGACCCTGCAAGGCATTCTGCTCCAAGAGGCTGCAAAGACTCATTTCTGGCAGAGTTTGGGGGTTAGAAAGAAAGACTTTTGCTGCTTTCCTTGTGTGCAGCCAAAAGCAGAAGCAGAAGCCAACCTGGTGGCCAGGTAAGTTCCCCCCTCCCCCCTTCCCTCACTACCTCATGTTGTTCACAGTGCAAGTGATGCAAGTGTTGTGTTCCTGGGCGGCACAGCCTTATGTTCCCCCACAGCCTGGATTAATTGCTTTGGGGGGGTGCTTTGGGATGGCATTTCTCTGCAGACCACCAAATTTTTCTCGCGGATCACCAGTGGGCTGTGGCCCACCGGTTGGCGACCACTGCTCTACAGAATACAGTAATGCTGGTAAAAGTGGAAGGAAAGTCAAAAATATATCAAGGTGGATGTATTGACTGGGTGAAGGGTTGGAAGATTGGAAGGATCAGTTGGGGACAGATAGTCATAGAGAAAACCTACCTATGTGGTCAGTAAGTCTTAATATCACATTCATGTCACAAAAGTTTCCATTCTCCACAGGGAGAAGCCATCCCTTTTTATCTCTGGACAGTAGTAATATCAAATCAATGACTAAGGAAATATATGTGCATTTATGAAGCATTATTTCCCCAGTGATTGACTTATTTATTCTTTCTGTTTCTTCATAAAACAAGCATGCTGGGAGGATTCTATTTTGAGACATTCCCTTGAGGGAACTATTCACACTTGTATCAATAGCATATTACTATTAAATCATGTACATAAATATGCTATTCTTGTGATTAAGTCTATGGTTTTCAAAATGTGTTCCTAAATATACAGTACAGATGAACCCTAGGTAAGAAAAATTGACGTTGTTTGTTTGTTTGTTTATTTATTTCCCATCTCACTCAAAAGGTGGCTCTGAGCAGTCTCCAGGCACTCACATAAAAGTCTAAAACCCATATGAAATATGATGTATCAATAAAAAGAGCACATGAAAGAATAAAATAAATTAAATCTTAAATGCTAAGAGGTAGGAAGAGGACTGTCCATGCTGTCAACTCCATTAAAGCCCAAAATAGTGGGAGCTCATCTGGAAGGAGGATATTCCAGAGGGTGGGGAAAATGGTAGAGGAAGCCCCCCCTCCTGAATCACGGTAGTCAATCTA